CGGTGTGCCGCCGGCTCTGGCCCGCTGCTGGTCGTACTTCACGGAGACGATGAGGAAGAGCAGGAGGGTGGCTCCCTGAACGGCGGCCAACAGGAAGAAGTAGTAGTTCAGGTGGCAGCCGTTGATGTTGCCTGGGGGCAAGAGATGGTGTCAGCTGCGCTCGGGGTCGGAAGAGGTTTGACTTACTGAACTCTGGGTCCTGCTAAGGTCAGGGTGACTTTTAACTGAGGTTATTAAAAAAAAAAGAAAAAGAATCCTATTTCTGATTCAAAACACACAAGCACTTTGTTTTCAAAGCCACCGTGAAGTCAGCTGCATCTCGACCCGGGCCCTGGGCCGGGTCCTCAAACTCCATGACCTCTCCTGTGAAAGGACGCGGCTCCCAAGTCGCCCCGGGGAGGGCGTGGCCGCCAGGGAGAGGCCCAGTCAGCCTTTTTCATGTGAGAATCTTCCCCCCAGAAGGCCGGGGGGAGGGGGGAAGTCACCCGACTGAGCTCCTGCCCCAGAAGCAAAGGTGGGACAGTGTGGCCAGTCTCCTCTCGGGCCGTTCCCCCGCCACGCTCTCAGAGAACCTCCCAGGCCTCTTCCCAGACAGCAGGTAACTGCACACAGACACGGTAACCTCTGGGTCTTCCACATGTGATAAGACAGACCCTCAGGTCCCGTGTCCACCAAACACACGCACAGGAACATTCCAGCCGCCTTATTCGTGACGGCCTCCAACTGGAGCCCCACGAACACACCACCATCCACAGCACACCCAGCAAAGGCACCGTGACTTCCTCGCACAGTGGAGGCTCCGCAGAAGTGATGACGAAGCGGTCACCGGGACGACGCAGGAGCGCCAGGTGGGAGAGGGCAGCAGAGGGCAGGGCCGCCAGGAGCCAGCACTGCCAGACATCGGAACAGAGGGGTGGGGGTCACTGAGAGGCCCCGAGGAAGCCCTCCCGGCGGTCTGCGGCTGGACCACTTAGAAGCACGAGGAGCAGTGCCCCCTACAGTAGGGACTGAGCCCCCGATCTAAACCCCGACGACAGGCAGGCCCACGGGGGGGGGGGGCGGGGAGAGGAGGAGGCAATGGGGGAGGCCTCCAGGGCCCTTTCCTCCAGCCACAGCCCCGGAGCTGGACAGGAAGTCACCCCCCAAGTCACCAGCCAGCCCTGCGGCCTCCCTGAAGGCGCGGCCACGGTGACCTAGGGGTGGGGGCGGTGCTGGAAGAAGCAGGGATGGCGGGGAGGCAGGTGGACTCCGGAAAGACACCTGCTGCTCTTCCCACAGCAGCAAGAATTATTCTGGGGGGGGGGGTGTCACATGGTATCATTTTTCTCCCCAAATCCACCACTGGACAGCCACCCGTAGTGTGCCTCCACGCTACCGCCTGCACCCCCCCCCCCAGGACACGGGGCAGTGGACACAAGGGACTCAGCCTCCCGTCACTGGTGTGGGGCCAGGAGACCCGGCCGTGCGCTCCCAGGGGAGGCGGCCGCTTCAGAACCCACCGCACAGCGTCTCCCTCTCGCGGAAGTGCCCGCGCCCAGGCCCAGCATGTGCGTGCCAGCGCACATGCACTCGCCCCGGAGACAAGCCTCACACAGACGTCCCCGATTACCCGGCAGAAGCAGAGGACGAATGACAGGGAAGCTATGTGGTGTCAGCTTAGTAACGAGGGGGAAGAATGACAAAGCTCAACCAAACCTTCACGATACACTGAAAAGCAGAACAGAAAACAGAGAACCCACATCTTAAGAACCACAGAGGTCTGGCCTTTGTAACAAGCCTGTCTTTAAAGAAGTCTCTCCCAGACAAAAATTCATCAGGTTTTCAAGGGGATTTATAACCTAAAAGCAGCTAAGTGCCAGGACAGCAAATGCCACACGACCATACAAGGAATCCCAATATGGGGGTTTTCACGAGTAAAACATAAAACAAAGAAGAAATCCCCGTCCCCTGGGTCTGATTAAAGGCGATCAGGAATCCAGAAACAGCAAGACCCTCACCAAGACGCCACCTGCTGGAATCAGCTGTAAAGCCCCAGTATGACCGATCAGGAGCACTACTTGTTTATAAACAGGTAACTTATTATACACCTCTGTTCTTTTCAATAGCTGAGAATTAAAAGGTACTGCCTGAAGAAAAGAAACAGAATATGGAACCACGGTCAATGAAGGGAAATCGGTGAGAGATTTCATTCACCTCCTAAGAACAGCGCTAGACGTGGGCGGGAGGAGGGCACAGCTCAGCGGCAGAGCGTGTGCCTAGCATGCACGAGGTCCTGGGCGCCATCCCCAGTCCTTCCATCAAAAAAAAAACCTTAGTGCCAGACAGGAAGGTGGAGGAGGCCTCCGTGAACCACGCGCTCCGCAGGAACTGCGCGGGGCGGGGGCGGGGGCGGAGGCCCACCCGGGCCGGGGCCCAGCGCCCCCAGGACGGCCAGTGCCCGGGCGAGGCGGGGCCGGGGCCTTACCGAAGTCCGTGTGGCTGCTCATCCAGCCGATGGCCTTGAGGGACACGAGCGCCAGCAGCCCGGAGCCCACGAACGAGCCGACGCCGGAGAAGAAGAAGAACAAGCCCATGACGGCGCTCTGCATGGCCCTGGGGGCGGCCGCGTACGCGAACTCCAGGCCTGCGGGGAGGGGGGGCCGGCGTCGGAGGGGAGCCCGGCGCGCACGTGTGCGCGGAGCCCCCTCGCCACACCTGCCCCAGAACTCCACGGGCCTTAAGTCGATGCCCGGCTCACAGCCGACGGCAGCCCTGCCTTGTCTTGCTCCTTCTGGAGAAAAGGGGCTGAAGAAGCAAGCTTCCCGCGTTCTCCACGGACGGGGGTTAAAACGAGGCCCAAGTGGGGAGATCCACCTGCGACTTGCATCTCAGAGGCGGTGTCGTTTAGAACAGCCTCGACAGGGGCGTGTGTAAGCTCAGTTACGGCCGTTACATTAAGCAGGCTGCAGGCGTGCACCTGCTCCAGGTGCAGGGCGCCCCGTCGGACCCGTCGGCCGGCTGGTGAGGGGCGGAGGGTGGGGGGGCGTCACTAAATCACCCCCACCCTGCGGCGCCCGCGAACAGGCTTGCGCAGAGCTGGCCCGGCCCGCGGCAGCGCGGCTCCTCCGCACGGGAAAGAGGCCTGTGTGCGCGCGTTTTGGAGATAAATCCGGAGGAAGAGGCCGAGCGCCCGGCGGGGCGGATCCCCGAGGCAGGGCCCCCGTGGAAGCGCCAGCCGGGAGCCGCCCCCCGCGGGGCTCTTCCTTCCTCCCCCGGGGGCCTCCGCGGCGGCAGGCGACTGTCGCGGGGGTGCTCCTGTCTGCACGCCGGGAAGGGAGCGCCCTTCCGGCCGAGGTGTCCCATCTCCTCCCCGGGCGCGTTCGGAGACGCCGCCGCCCGCCCGCTCCCCCGGGGCCCTCCGGCCGCCCGCGCCCTGCGGGGGCGGAGCCTCACCCGCGATGCTGGCGAATATCTCGCTGACGCCGATCAGCACGTACTGGGGGAGCTGCCACCAGATGGGCAGGTCGGCCGCATAGTAAACCACGTTCCCGATGGTCTGGTTGATGGTCTTCTCCTTAACGAGGTCCAGCCTTTTGCTTTCCAAAATCCCTAGAGTTCAGAAGTAGGTCAGTGGAGCCGTCATTGACACTTGCCGTGAAACCAGGTGGCAAGACGCGCGGTACAAGGCGTCGGCCGGCCGCTCTGAGAAGTGCACGGAAGGACGCTGACGCCCAGCGCCAGCTCCCCCAGAGCCCCCACCGAAGGGTGTCCCGCTTTCGGCTCCCTGAGCAGGCGTCGGAACAGCAGGCCCCACACGCACGTGTCATGGGGCCTCTGCGGTGCCCCTAAGACCCGTGTTCTCCCGCTTAACGCAACCCTCAGCCGCCCGGACCGCTCACCTCAACTCCTTCTGTTTCTTCTCAGAGAAGGAGTAGGGGAAAGCTAGCCATGCTGTTTACTTCCCAGAAGGTAACACGTTTTGAGATGTTTCCCCCTTTGTGGTAACAGATTTAGGCTGACGCACTGACTCGCTGTCCTCACTGTCACAGCTGCCACTGCTCATTGTAACACTAGCTTCCTTGTACGGGCGGCTTACCCTCAGCAGCACGGTGCAGTGGTCCCCCACCTGCGGGGGGCACGTTCCAAGGCCCGCAGTGGGTGCCTGAAACGAGGTCAGTGCCGCACACTATTACACCAGGTCCCCCCGCACACGAGCCCATGGGAACATTCACTCCGTAAACCAGGCACAGTGAGTTACTAACAGCAGTAACTAACAGTGGAACAGAACAATCACAGTATTATACAGCACCCAATAGGAGGCATGTGAACGTGGTCTCTCTCTCTGGATGTCTTATGTACCGCAGGTGTTTTTGAACTGCGGCTGACCGGGGAGGGGGGGGGGTCACTGAAGCCACGGAGAGCAAAACCAAGGATAAGGCGAGTACTGTAAACTGGACTTTGCAAACCAACTTCTGCTCTCAGCAGCACCAAGACCTCACTGGACAGTCAGTCCTCTGTCACGGAGGAGAGAAAGGCGTGGGAAAATAAGAGGAAAGAGCTACTCTTTACAAAACAAAAAATAAGCCGATCAAAATAAAGTTTAAAGCAGCAATCTGTAGGACCCAGTTCTCAGGGTACAGATGTCACTAAGTTTTGCTTTTAAAGACGTCTAATTGCAAATGAAATAACGGGCCCTCGCACCTCCCACCACAGGGCCACTTCCCGTGGGTGGCGCATGTGGTCCTCGGGAAAGACCTAAGTCGTTCATCTTCACAGTGAGTGCAACACCGTCATCTGCTGGAGACGCAGCGGGAACCTGAGACACACAAGCCCCTCGGTCCTCAGCAGAGCTGCAGACGGAACAACGCGGCTTTGCTTGGAGCGAGGGTTGCAAACCAGAGACCCAAGGGCAATCACTTCTCGGCCGTTTGGATAAGGTCAAGTGCAGCCTCCCGGGCAGACCCAGGTCCTGAACTTCAGGACCTTCATGCTGCTTTGGAGAGTCCAGACAGGACCCGTGCCTTCGGTCACCAGGCCCCGCCCAGACCAGCGTACCTGTGACCCTGGGCAGCACCGGGGCTGAGGGCTCCTGTTACAGGGACCCCAACTGACACAGCTGACAGCAGACAGCAACGACCCCGCCCAGGCAGCGCCCCACAAAAGGTTTGAGAAAAGTAGTATCAGCCAAAAAGGAAGCCTAAAATCCAGATGCGGGTATCAGGAAGCCACACTCTCTCCTGGCTCCTCACTAACACACAGACAGAAACACTGACGTCGTGAAATGAAAACAAATTCTCTGAAATTACTCTTGGATCAAACCCCCAGTTTCAATATTCTTAGGGGGAAAAAAACCAAGCCACCACAACAAATCAAAACACACGAGCCCCCAGCACAGCAGCAGTAACAGGAGACAGACTCACACACCGCACGGTTCTCACCACCGAACGCGGAGGAACAGACAGAAAATGAAGCATTTAACTCAAGAAAGGAGGAAAGAAAAATCTCAAGACAAACCCAAGGTAGTAGAAATTAGTTTCTTACTCTTCAGGTAGAAAACATAGAAACAATCACATGATACATTCAAGAGACACATCCATGGAAAAGTTACAAAGTACACACAATTTGCACAAGCCTAATTTTAAAAACAAGAGCACACAAACTCAGGAAACCAGAAATGAGGAAGGAAACAAACAGATTTATTTGAAAGACTATTTTTATCTCTAACCATTTTTCTAAAACTCAGTAAATGATTTACTAGGGACATAAAAAAATTAAAAGCTTAAGTGATTTAAGAGAAAACAGAACGTGTAAGAAATTGAGGAAAAGGTGATGACACCGTGTAACCCTGACACCAAGCCAAACACGCCCACCGCGGACAGGCGTGCGGGCATGCTGACAATATGGCTGCAGGTTTTAATCGCACCGTAAACTCAGCCCTTTGAGTATGTGTGTGTGTGTGTGTGTGTGTACGTAGTGCGTGTACATATGTGTGTGTATATGTGTGTTTGTGTATGTGTGTGTGTGTGTATGTGTGTGTGTGTGGAAGGGGGGACGGCTCATCTGCAGTTGGGGCATTTTTTCCTCCCTCTGTGTAACAAGCACAGCTTCTATGATATGCTTTTATGGTCTTTCTTTTTTTTTAATTAAAATTTTTTTTCTTGGGTTTTTTTTTGGGGGGGTCAGGGTATAACTAGGTTGATTGATTGATTGATTTTTGGAGGAGGTCCTGGGGACTGAACCCCGGACCTCGTGCTTGCTAAGCACGTGCTCTACCACTTGAGCTGTGCCCTCCCCGACTTTTATGGTCTTCTTCACTTAGTTTTTCTTAATCAGGCTCAAATCAGGTTTCTTTCCAATCAAAGTTTCGGTGTGCTATAATAATTTCACTTTCAATTATAATACTTCAAGCCTCATTAATGTTCTGGTTAAATAATATTCACCAGAGCTGGCAATGAAGCTGCATGGAACACCTGGCACTGTTTGCATCAGATTTCATGAACTGTGCCTCAGTCAAGTTACACGACATTCAAATTCTGGACCAGTGACAGTTAACGTCAGTGCCTGGTCAGTCGGCAAAGCAAGCCTTTTTAAGATACCAGCATAGCGGGCGTTGTCCACTTCCAAGTCGCCGATTCGGATGCTGAAGTTAAGTGGCCACGGCCACCGCAATGCAAAGCTCCTGGGGGGCCAGCGGCCACCTGAAGGCTGTCTGCCTCTGCCCGGCTCTGGAAGGGAGCCGCCCTGTATGGCCAGCTCTTTTAAAAGGCAGCACTGCCTGCCTGATGGGCCACCCCCAGTCACCCGTCGTTTCCTGCACAAACAGCACAGAAACCACCGGAACAACCCTGTGGATCTCAGGGCAGCCCGCAGGAGCGAGTCAGCCCTTAAAGAAACAGAAAGAGGAGCTGGCTTTATTAAAGGAATCCAAATCCAGAGTCTGCTAGAAAATGCCCGGGAAACTAAGGGCCTCCCCTTCCCCAGGGGAGAACGAGGACTCCCTTCCTGGAGTGCGACCGGCGCGGCCGGGGTACCGAGGGGGCTCCCCACTCCAGGAACAGAGCAGGCGCTCGGGGAGGCAAGACAGACAGACAGACGGCCGGACACCACCTCCAGCACAGCTACTCTGCCCGTCACTGTTGCTGCATCTCCAAACCTGCAATCAGAGTGTTGTTTGCTCCGGCTGACTCCCCACCGCCCCCTTGGGGGTCGCAGGACTGAAGAGGAAGGGAAATACACAGAAAGCACCAGCGAGAGCTGCTTTCAGCCACGACCTCCTTTAATTACCTATTTGATCAAGAGGAAACGTAACTGTCTTCTAAGATGTCCTGCGTCTGGAATACAGATTTCTCAAGCCTTGAGACTCGTTTCTTTTAATCTATTAAGTGCTGTATCAGTGTGCTCGCGCTGGTGACGGCAGATGCGGGCTGCTGGGAAGCGCTGCTGGAGAATATTAAATTCCATCTCCGCAGCGCTCAACAGTCAACTCCTCGTAACAGAGATGGTTTATAGGTGATTCAGGAGCATCAGCTCTTTGTGTCTTGTCATTCCTAACCTATTTTGCGGCTCGATAATTTTCAAGTACTAACGAAGGAGTAACTCCAAAGCAAGCGAGACAGTCAGCGACACCTCAGCTTTCTTGGCACAAGACATTTCAGCTTATGCTTCAGAATCTGGGACTTGCGAAAACAGAATGTAGCGCCCCCCAGAGGACAGCTCCCCTCAGCGGTGCTGGAATACTGAGGCACTGGTTCTTAACCTCTTTCTTTTTTTCTGGGGGATGGAAGCTGGTCACAAACTTGTATTTGACTTAAAAGAAAAAAAAACCCCAAACCAAAAAAACCCAAAAAGCCTTTCTCCCCAGGAAAATGCACATGAAATTTTACATAAAAATGCAAAGGGTCTGGGGCGTAGGAAGCCGATTAATGGACCTGACATTAAGAATTACAGCTTTGAGGATTATGTGACACCTTTAATTTACAAAAATTCATCTATCCAGCAATCCACAGTCGTCTAAAATCTACGTCAGTAGGAGACAACAGGCCTCCTCTGATTCAACCCAAAAGTCACTTTCCACAGTACTTCACTGGTTAGAGCTCTTTTAAAACAAAAGACAAATCTCTGGGGAAAAAATCTTAAACTTCATATCACAAAAAACCAGAAAATGAACACCACTCAGGTTTAAAACAACCCGTACGTGTTCTCTGTTAGAGCGCACACACTCTGGGTGGCGCATGGCATGTCAACCGAGCCGCCGCGCCCGCTCAGGCAGAAAGGGCCTCTTACCTGCGGCGAAGGCCGAGCACATCACAAAGAACATCCCGACCGCGATCCTCTTCAGGGACGAGGGCAGCAGGCCGTGCCGCCTCAGCACGGGGTCCACCACTTTGTCTTTGAGGGGGATCAACAGCAGGATGAGCACGGCGTCGAACATGGTCAGCCAGGCCGCCGGAAACTGGAATTGTAAATCGCGTGAGGCATGGGCTGACTTTCCCGCGGTCACTTACTCGACGGCTAACGTCTACACCCGGAAAAGCTTATTTCAAGAACCTCCTGGGAAAAAAGTCTGTCTGGAGACACTGGAACCGAGAAAAGACTCTGATTTCTATGGGGATTTGCACTTGGGTTTCTGTGCTTTATTGGGGAGAAAAAAGAATCAGGAGAAATACTAATTACTGTTTAACTGCCAGTTCTCTACTGAATCTAGTAAATGACGTGACTGGCGGAAAACAGCGTCTGGAAGAAGGAAACATTCCTCTCATCAGGAGCGCGTTCAGTGCGTGCTGAGCGCGGTCATTCAGGGCACCTCTGGCGGGGGGCGGGGAATCACCCGGCCTGGAACCCCCAGCGGCAGTTTGCAGACCACCGCGCTGCTCTCACCGTATGATGGGCGGTTGCAATACTGGGAATTTCTGGAATCTTCAAATGAAGACTCTGTAAAACGTACGTTGTCTGCATCTGGGTGTAAAAAGCAGTGTCATTACATGTGGGCCGTCACACACACACCTGAGCGGGTCGCCCCTCCCCCGGGCTACATCCAGACGAGGCTCGCAAGGGTCAGGGGGGTGGAAAACAGACAGGTCAGTGGCTCGGTCATCATAAAAGTCGCCTGCGGACCAACTCGGAAAAAGAAATAAGAAGTCATCCCAGTGAGAAGCCAAGTCAAAGGGGGCGGGGGGGGCTGGGAAAAACATCCCCACTCTTGGCCTCTTTCTGGAAAAGGTCTCAAAGCATTTATATCGGCAAAAATGAGTCTGTAACTAAAAAGAAGACTCCAGGATCCTTGACACTCATGGCGGAGAAGGCAGGGAGCCCTGCGCACCGCGGAGACGGCTGAAGGAGTGCCGGGCGGCATTCCCGGGGAGGGGGACACGGACCCTGCTGGCGGCACTCACTTGGAAATACACTGTCCAGTAAGGTATCAGAGCCAAGAAAACAGGGACAGTCTTGACAAGAGCTTTCATGTCTTCCACTTTGTCTTCCGGGAAGGGCCCTCCTCGAGACATCTTACATGAATCAAACAGACTGTGTTTAGAAGATTGCTGAAAGACTCCAATGCCTTCACTTGGGGAGATAAAATCAAGGAATTAGTTTTCTTCCACCCCTCCCCCAGAAACCAATTATCTGGTAACAAATTCAGTTTGGAGTCGGAAACTGTACCGAATTTGCCTAAACGTCATTCCAATGCCTCCTAACTGCACCCACCAAACACAGCCCCCGAGGCTCCTGAACGCGGCCGGAGGTACTGAGACAGCTGCCCAGGACCTTCCGGTCAGAGTGTGACGGCAGCCACCACCATTCTTCCACGAGGCTGGAAGACATGTGACCACCGATCATGCCTGAAAGGTGGGAGGCCTTGTCCCCGCCCCGCTGATTGGGGACAGCCTGCAGCTTCATCTGAAGCTGGTGACGATGACATCAGCTCCATCACTGGGGTGTTATTTGAAAAAAAAATACTGTGCCGTATTGATTTGTCTGGATTTTCAGTTAGGTAATTTATAACGTCGAGACTGGACGCCCAACGTTGACCCTGTTACAAAACTGTGCGGGTTTAGTGCCCTGCTGTCCCAGGGGTGAGACGGAGGGAGGCGCTGCGCCAGCAGGGAAGGCTACCGGCTCTCAGATTAGGGGACCTGGGCAGCATCACCCGGGGGCAGTCAGCCCTGACCACAGCCCTCCCAGGCACCAGGACACCTGGCCTGGCCCCCGGCACGGAGGAGGAAGTCAGGGCACAGAGAGGGTAAGGAACGTGCTCCTGGTCACAGAGCCCGAGAGCTGGGGCAGGTCCTGACCCTAGATGGTCCTGAGGCCCTGACCACTGCATGACGCCACCTGCCCCGCTGCTCCACCACGGGCATCCTCCCGCACTCAGGGCCGCTGGTCACGGTGTGGAACCCGGGCCTCCCGTCCCCACTCGCTTTACCCTGGGCCACTTTCACTACCTGTAAAATGAACAGGTCCTACGGGGTGACTCCAAGGCCTTTTCTAGCCCAGAACACTCTAGCAGAGAAACATGCTCTTGGCTCTTACAGGTAAAATAGAAAAAAAAGTTCTCACTGCACACCAATCTCTAAAACCCCAAATCCCGGGAGATAATTAATTACCACTGAGAATTCTTCCCGTTCTGGGACTTGGATACGAATGGTGGTCGTCTGCTTTCTGGTTTGTAAAGTCCTGTCCCATCTTACTGAGCTACCACTACTGCAAACCATTTTTGTCTTTTAACACTGACATTTTAAATCTGAACTTTCAGAGTACGGAACACCAAAAAACTGAAAACTGTAACAATATTTTAGCCAAATTTTGGACAGAGAACTAAATTCAATTCTACACACATTTACTGAGCACCGACTGTTTGCCTAGTTCTGTTCTAACTGGGTGCTGAGGATACAGAAATAAGTTAAAAAAAAAGATGCATGTTCTGTCCCTACGCAGCTAGTCTGGAAAGTGAGGAAAATAATCAGAAAAACACTCCAGGCGAAAACCTAAATTCCAAAGACAACACTCATGCTTCCGTTTGAAAACACTCCGAGCTTCCCGTTTCTTTTTCCCTTTGGCCAGAAACGTAACCGTAAAGCTCCTGTGCACCTAGTACCGCTCCTCTCCGTGACGCACGTCCTCAAACCACCCGTGTTTCTCTAAATACAACCAAATGTCAAATCACAACTTCGTTTCACACACAGAACCTTGCACAAGGGTACCCGGCTATATTACTTACATGTCATATCATTACAATGTTTTCAGAAACTGCTAAGTGAACACGCACCTGTAACTCGGTCTAGTTCACACACATTATTAGTGAATTAGTCTGCAACAGACAAGGGTCCAGCACGGAGCCACAGTCACAGACGACGAGGCACAAGACGAGGACCCAGGAGGCGGCCGCGCTCCCCCAGGGCCCGCCCACGGGGGCCGCGTGCACACGCGTGTGCTTCTCCCGGGAGAACAGGCCCTCGGCCCCCAGATTCTCAGCTCAGAGAGGGCTCAGAACTGTTTCCACTCACTCTGATGAACTGAACAGATGGTGTGCAGATTTCACATCTAAAATCAGCATTACACCATCTTCAAAGCACAGACCCACCTAGACCAGAAAGGAACCGGGGTCGGGCCAGGAGATCAGAGCCAGGAGCGAGGCAGGGCCCGCGCGGCGCCGTGCCGTGCTTCCTCCCCTAAGCTGCGGGAGCCGGCCTTCCGCCCAGGCACCCTTGTCAGCCAGGACCCTCCACCGGGCTCTGACCAGCTCGCGGAGGCCTCGTGAGGGTCCTACAGGAGGAGACTCCTTCCGCTGTGCAAAAAGGAAAAGGCCTCACAAGGTCACGCACCTGCCCGAGGTCACAGAGCCCCAGCGTGTGCGTGAGGAGAGCACGGCTGGAGAATTCTCGAGACCACCAGCTCTTCCGCGAGTTAGTCCTTCTGTAATAGGGCCAAAGACTTCCAAAAACAAACCTTAAGGGAAACCAGACTCCTAAGTCCAAATCGTCCTCACCGCTCCACCTGTGCCCGAGAATGCCAGTGTCCACAAAGCAGTGGTGCGCCCCTGCAGAAACACCCGCCGGGTGCCACCCACGGACACACACAAAGCACGGTGCACTTTGCTAATGGGCATTCAGTCTACAGGATAAACACGTAGGATCTGAAACCCTGCTTCGGCCCAATCAGAATGAGGCCCTGGCCCAGCACTCGTGCTTGCTACGGAGGCAACGAGGCTCCAGTCTCTAAAAATTCCATAGTGTGGTCCCACCACGTGCAGCTCTGAATGAGGAAGTCTGAAAGCCACGCCGACCCCTGGAATTCCAGGTCACCAGGCTGGTGAGGAGCTGTGCTGGAATTCCACACGGGGACAGCTGCAGAAACCAGACACGGTCAGCCTGGGGCACAGGGGCAGGGCCGTGAAGCTATTTGGGGACAGCTTCAAATCAACCACGTGGGAGGAACACGAGACCTTCACCATGGCTCCAAGGACATAAATGTGGCACCTGCAGATGAGCCGCGAGGGGGCAGGTCTGGAGCTGGCGTGCAGGACGTTCCTGCAACGGGTGCTGTCCCCACTGTGGCCGAGCAGGCGGCTTCCAGCCCAGGGACTGACCGGCCCCCTCAGTGCCTGCCTTGATCGCAGCATTCCCTGAGAGGCTCAACTCCAAACGGTCCCTGGGACCTTCCTGGGGTGACGGATGAGCCCCGTATCCTGACTGCACCGTGGCTGCATGGCGGAATGAACCTGCCGCAATTCCCAGAACCGAACAGCTAAACGGGGTGGGTTTACTGCACATAACTGGTACTTCAACACGTGACAAGAAAATCCCGAGGTCTCTTTGTGAGCTAAGACCTGGACTTTCCCTGATTCATCTGCGTCCAGGGGGACCGACCGTCGGTCACAGTTTGCCCAGGACTCTGGGACTCCCAGCGGTAAAACCTCAGCTCGTGGGCACTCGGCGCTAAAGCTGGTAAGTCCCCTGCTGCCTGCGTCTCAGACCTCTGCAGTCAGTCCCCTGTCAGAGCGCAGCCAGGGCGAGCACTGGAGGACGGGCCCAGGCGGACTGCTCAGCCGCTGACCCGAGGCGAGAGGCCGCGGCCTGCTGCTTAAGGAGCACAGAGAGGGGCCACAAAGTAACCACCAGCTCGGTTTTCCACTCAAATGAACGGCAAAGCTTTTTACGGTGAAAAGCGAAACGTGCGGAGTACCATCCTGTCTCCTCGACGCGCCCCACGAGCCTATGTATCACCTTCCCACACCAGGCAGCCGGGAGTTCCCCTCCCCGCCAGCAGCGAGGGGCAGGTCAGGCGCAGGTCAGAGACACGCAGGGGCGGGCCTGCGGGCCCGTCTGCAGGACGGAGGGGCAGCACCACCCTCGCCTCCGGGGCCCAGCCGAGGCCACGGGCCGGGCCGGCTGACCTCAGCCCAGCGCCCCCCCACCGCCCCTGCCCAGTAAGCACAGGACAGAGGGTGACGGCTGAGCCTCGAGAAACAGCCCGGGCCGTGAGCAGGCCGGCGCGCTCACCCGCTGGGCCGCCGGGCCCTGGGCCACCGCTGCAGGCGGCACGAGTACGCCAGGACCTTGGCCACGTCGGTGAAGGCGCTGCCGTCGGGGGGCCTGCTGACGAAGGAGGTCTGGCCGCAGAGGAAGACCACGAACGCCACGCCGATGCAGACGGTGGGGATGATGTAGCCGGTGACGAAGCTCACGTTCTGCTGGATGTAGGCGATGCCGCCCAGCGAGACGATGGCTCCCAGGTTGATGCTCCAGTAAAACCAGTTGAAAAACCTCCTCGTGGCCTCTGGACCTCGATCTTTAACCTAAAATGACAAGAGGAAAGAGACTTAAAAACCTGTGATAATCTTCAAGGACAAAAAACACATGCGATGCTTTAATTTATCACTATATATACAGATACTGCTGGTGCCCTCACTGCCTTCAGAAGTGCAGCGTAATCAGAATGGTGTTTAACGATACATCCTGCCAAAAAAAAAATGTATCTTACGCGTTTAATTACTACAGATTCTGAGGAGTCCTTCTCTTAACTGCACTTACATCCAATAAATCCTTGAGTTTCTCAAAGTATCGCCCGCGGACCTCTTGCTTCGGAAACGCCTGGAATGTTCCTTAAAAATGCATATTCGCGGGACCCACACTCCAGGCCTGCCCACTCCCCATCTCTGGGGTCAAACAACTTTCCAGGGCACTTGTGCTGACAGCCACACAGCTTCACGCCTTGATAAATCTGGCGCAAAGAGAAAATTACAGACCAAAGCTAAAACCACATGCTGTCTTTAGACCAGGAAGGCTATCAGTGGAATCAGCAGAAACTCTGATAAGGACCGAGATTCCTGAAAGGCTAAAAAAAATCACTGATTTCCTGAACTCAGACAAACAGAAGCACCAGGTAACGAGTGATTCTCGGTGTAGCCCCTCCCCAAGACTTTCTCAGTCGGAGCCCATCCTGTTGGTGACAGTCCATGTGGGGTGGGCACCCCTTAACCTCCCTCCCTGAAGATGGATTTTCTGGCCACGTGGACACCAGCATGAGCTGTGCACTGGCCTGAGTCATTTCTGGCCAGTTTCATCTCATAAAATTTCTACACGGACTTGCAAGCTAAAGGCTGCTGCGGCATTGGGTACAAGGACAGCGGGCTGCCGCTTGACTGGAAAGTTCTGTTGCCTCACCCTTAAGTTACAGGTTACAGAAAGGTTAGACAAGTTCTGTTGCAGAAACAGATCTGCATTCTGATCCACAGAGCAATCTCCTCTTCTAAGTAACAAAGGAGGTTTTCCATGGGGGCCTGAACAACCAATTCCGATGCACAAACCACCCTCCGCATCTTTTTAGCAGTCATGTTACATGATAGGACATTTTAACCTCTATTTTTTAAGGTTAAAGTATAGAGCAAAATCACGTGCCCTTCCAAAAATTTTTACTCCAAAATGATTAAACATGGTAACTGCGATGTCAAGAAATACGCTTGAATTATCTGGTAACCACCATCTCAAACTGAAAATCTGAGTTTTAAATAAACTGCATCCTCAGCAGGATGTTAAACTTGACTCCCACCCACATCAGGACTGAACCAAAGTCCTAGATCAAATGCTGGCCTGCCTGCTAAATAAATGATCTGTGTGGAGAAGGGCCTTTGATCTCTAAGACTGATGGTTCTTCACGAGACACAACGTGTTCAGATGTTACTAAAAGGGACTCAAAAGGTTCATGCTGTCCTGGACGCAGACCAGAGGGAAGAAAAAAGTGTAAGCAGGGAACCGGTTACAGAGAAAATATAATTAAAGATATAAAGACAAGTATTTAGGGTGGGGGGGAGTAAGCTTAAAGGGGAAGAAGGCCAGTAAACGTGACACTTAAAAAGAATGCAGACAATTTATGTCTGAACTGAAAGAGCTCGCAGAGGGCCCATCCTCCCCAGCGGCACCGCACGGTGTGAACTGTGGAAACCTGGCGGGCCGCTTCCTCAAACTTCCCAGCGTAATTCACCAAACTCGCTTTAGAACCTGAAGACTCCTCCCAAGGCCCCAAATAACCACGTAACTAACAGTCATTTTTTGGAACAAGTGGGAAGCTGGCTCCTATATGCGGCACATCACACGCCTCCCCTGGTGCCCGGGACCGGCCGGCCAGCAGCCTTCACTTCATATTAGTCACAGTACTTGACCCTCTGTCCGCGGCCCCACGCCCCACCCTCCCCGGGGTAAACAAGAGTGTCTTGTGATGGGTCCAAAGGCACCACCGCTGTTAATTCAGAGAAGCACAGATAAAAGAACAGAATTCTGCGAAGTGAGTCACACAGTTGGCAGATTCGGAAATATTCCTTTCAACGCACAACAGTGCAACATTTTTTCCCTCTAGAAAAAAAGAAGTATCTTTGTTCTCTGTCTGTAACTAAGTTCTTCTTTCAGTTCGCCATTTCAAACACAGGATCCACGCACTAAGAATGACATGACCTCTGCGAAAGCGTAAGCCCTGGGGGAGAAGATGGGGCTACAGTGATTTACATCAAAACGCATCACCCTTGGAATCTCGAGCGCCTTCTCAGAGCTGCACAGCCTGACCCCACTCATCTCTCACTCAGGATGTTTCCCGGAGGCACCATATTGCAGACAATGGCGGCATGAGTGAGGGAGACGCACAAAAGTACACTAAAAAACCAGATTTCCTCACGCTGAGAAGGGCCAGGAGATGCCAAAGAGACAGGCTGGCAGGCTTCGTGCCTGGTCTCCGGGCTTGGAGCCACACCACTGCACCCGGCAGCAGGGACCTCGCGGTCGGCCTCCAAAGTCCCTTCGAGGACCAGCCAGCCCCTGGCACAGAGCAAGCACCCTGGCTTAAGGGTACTGTCATTTCCCTTCTAAATGTATTTTTCACTAAAATAAACTTCATACCAACAAAGCTACCCTTCTGTACAACTCAGTGGTCCCCTAGTCTATTCACAGACATGCAACCTCCACCATCCAGTCCCACATTTTCATCACACCAACAGGAAACCCATGCCCTTTACTGTCCCTTCTCTGTCCCCATCTCCTGACCCCTGGCAACCACGCATCTTCCTCTGGCCTTTAATGCACCTGTCTATTCCGGACATTCCATATAAATGGAATTAGAGAACGTGGTGTTCCGTGCCTGGCGTCTTTCAATCAGTGGGGATGTTTCCAAGATCCATCCGCACTGTGGCAGGCACTTGAGTCCTTCTCACTGAAGGACACTCCACGACATGGACAGACCACAGCTGCTCTGTCCACGGTGCAGACACCTCAACTTCTCATGTTAAACAAACTTAAAGGTAAAATAAAGTTGAAAGAATAGTAAAACATATACTTCTCTACCCTTCATTTACACCCCTACTCCTGTTTTTCTATATGTGTGTGTATGTATACATACATATACATATTATGACACACTTTTAGGTTTAACTATTTAAAAATAAGTTGCACACATTTTCACCCCAAAGATTTCATCATGAATCTCCTAAAAATAAGGCTGTTCATCTACATGACCACAGACCCCATCACACCTAAAAAAATTAACATCATTGCAATTTTACCTAACATGTGGTCTGTAACCAAATTATTCCCACTTTCTCAAGAAACGGTTTTTTTGAAAATCTGGGCTCCAGTCATGAAGCACATGATGCGTTTGGTTGTCAAGTCTCTCTGATGTCCTTGAATCTGGAGTGGTCCTCCTTTTTCCATGAAGGTGACCTGTTAGAAGAGATTAGGCCAGCTCTCTTGCAGAAAAGGACATTCCTTTTTAATGTCCACATTTAATTACTTATCAGAAGAGTGCAAATTATGTCATGCATTCTAGAAAACCTCTTCAGGACCACTCAGTTCTTTTAAGGAATATTAAATTACTCTCCTATTGACTACTGGACAGTACTAGCTTTTAAGCCAGACTTCCTGGGTCCAGACCCAGCTCCCCTACTCACTTCCTGTGGTCCTGAGCAGGTCAAATTCTCTAAGCCTCTGTTTATTATAAAACAGGGACAATTACGGGGTAGAAATTGTTGGGAAGCTTAGATAACACAGTGCTGGAAAAGCACTCAGGGTGGTGAGGGGCATCGACCAAACACTCAGGGCACTTCAGTCCTGTGGCTGAGTTTTTCAAAGACGGAGAACTGTGCTCCCAGTGCCGTGCCTTCAGGGTTGGCCCGTGAGCTGATGGCATCCCAAAGCCAAAGCCACCATCACAGGATGCCTTTAAGAAATTAGAATTAAGAAACACTAAGAAATTAGATCCAGATTAACACCCTGGCTTGACCACCCACCACCAACAAAAGGAATAATTTCTTTTTGCACCTCCATTTCCTCGTTTAAAAAAATGGGTATAAGATTCACATGAGGTTCAGATGAGTTCAACTATACGAAGCACATTCCCCAGTGCGGAGAAGGAAACTGAGAATCCAGGACATTGGGCAACTATTATTTCCTACATCATTATAAGGTGTTGCCTTACACAGGTATGATTCAAGTTCAAAGGCCAGGCTCTTCCATCCTGGCTCCATCACAAACCAGCTCTGTAACTTTGGCCAAATGAGTGAACCTCTCAAGCCTCTGTTTCCTCATCTGTAAAATGGGCACAGGAACGGCAGAGGTGTCATGTGGACTGACAAAGTAGTGAGCACGGGCTGATGCATGTAAGCCCTCACTGAATGCCTGCAATCACATAGCTATTCTAGCACAAAAACCTACGAGTTACCTTCCCTATTGCTCACCTAAAACCCGCCAGCAATTCCTGCCCCCTCTACCTCCATGACTTATTCTAAATTCACTCACTTCACTGCATGGCCACTGCCTCCATCCTGGTCCAAATCTCTATAATCTCTCACCTGGCCTGTGTAACTGATTCCTACCTGATATGTCTGCTGTTAGCACTTCCCACACAACCAACTTAGTTTCCATATGAGATGTCCACACCTTTTTCTGTGAAGGGGCAGGGTGTACTTATTTTAAATTTTGGGTGACATTCAATCTGTCACAACTACTCAGTTCTGCTACCGTACTGTAAAAGCAGCCACATCATAGCCGATGTGATCAGGAACACGCAGGGCGGGGTTCCAATGAAGTTTTTATGGGTACTGGAATTTGCTTTACCTAATTTCTTCTCTCTTTTTTCTTATCATTTAAAAAATATTCTTCTCACTTTTTTCTTATCATTCTTCTCACTTTTTTCTTATCACTTAAAAACCTACCACCAGTCCTTCTTCTCACTTTTTTCTTATCATTTAAAAACCTACCACCAGTCCTATTCTTAGCCTGTGGGCCCGCCAAAAACAGGAAGTAGACCAGATTTGGCTCGCAGGACACACCTGCCAGGCCCCCGCGCTACAGAGGCTGAAATTTTAGAAACATAAATTAGATCACATTGCCATTACCCCGGCTGCTCACAACCCATAAAGGCTTCTTACTGTATTCAAAACAGACCTCAGACTCTTTACCAAGCCTCCCATCACGGAGCCCCTGCCTGCCACCTCTTCCCACTTCCTCTTTTCTGTTTGAAATGTACTCGTCACTCAACCTTCTGTAAGTTTAGCGTGTCCAGTACATGCTGACCCGACATATTTCTGTGTTATGCACTGCAACACGCTGCCACTGCAGCCGCTACAGCAACGAGACTAGGGTGTCCCCTCTCTCGCGGGGCCCCCGGGCCTTTGCACTTGCGGATGCCCAGTCCGGAAGCTCCCTTGCTGTGTTTCCAGGTCTCAACTCCGAAGGCCCCTCCGTAGGACTGAGGTCCCGTCTTTGCAGCCGCCCCCGCCAGGGCCCACCGCAAGCTGGCCCCTGTCGCTTCGGGGCTGCGGAGGCTGCCAGCGACCCCGCCCCCTCGCGGCCCTCACCTGGTCCGCGCCGAAGGGCGTGATGTTGGCCTTGACCGCGCCCACGCCCAGGCCCACGAGCGCGAGCGCCTGACAGCCCGGCGGGCGCGCAGTAGCGCTCGGGCGCGTCCGGGCAGGGCGGC